ATGGGCATGTGCAGAGAATGGCTGATACCAGGTTGCCGAAGAAGGTGTTGGAGTGGGTCCCCCCAGGTAGGCGACGGAGAGGGCGTCCAGCCAAACGGTGGGTAGAGGACATCCATGAAGAGATGGAGAGATGCCAGCTTCCGGAGGATCTCTACCATGACAGATTCCTGTGGAGAATAGGCGTCGCAGAGCGCCCTAGCGCGCCGTAAAAGCGGCTCATACATACATAATGTAAAGACTACGATTAAATTTCAAAGGATATGCTTGTCTTATCGTTAAAATCGAAAAAAAATGTATGCTCTGTACTTAAAGCATGTCAGTCCATCAGATACTGCAATTACTCAGAAAATGTAGGCACAGTGAAAAATTAAATTGAGGCTGCATGAAAAAACTTCATTCGTGAGACCCAACAAGCGGGTCACGTGGAACTCTGAATTTTTTGTGATTCTGCATTCGGAAACTTGAGGTCCAACTGCCGATGTTCGAATCACCCACTTAAAGTTTTTCGGTATACCTCGGTGTAATTTTTAAATATTGACTTGTAAAATGTGAAAAAAATTTTGGGTATAATATTTATTTTTCCATTCAATAGGTATTTTGACGATCCACGAGCAAATTTTTCAAGCTACCAGTTCGCTGAGAAGTATCAATTGGGCGAGCCCGTCGCAGTGAATTTTTTTCAAACCGAATGGACGCCTATACCCACATTACCGTCCTCCTTTGATCTCGACAAAGAGGAACAAAGCTATATTTAAGTGAGGTGATCACGTAATTTACTTTTTCAATTGTCTAAAATCATACCATTAACATTAGTCATTTTAAGATTGACATGAACTGATAATTTATTCTTTTAAATTAACTTTGCATGTTGCCCTTTTTTATGTGAGCTAATAAAAAGACATTTTTTAGAATTTATATCAAATATTATCATTGTAGAATTGTACGTTTATAAATACACATGAATCCGATAGATGCGTGTTTGATGCAGTGCTTAATTTTTGATGTTGCATTTCGAAAATGCTGCCCTTGGTATGGAAACAATTGAACATCGTCGCAACGGGCCGAGGGAATTTACAAAAAAAAAAGTAACCTGTAAACATGGCCGGAGGATTAAGAATTAGAGGAAGGCACATCAACATCACCCCTACCGTAGAGGATCCTACTCATTGATCTTCTGCTGACATAAAAAGTATCATAGTAATATGGCCGGAGGAGCAAGAAAAAGAGGGAAGCGACACGTCAATACCACTCCCCCCCCTGCCCCTTCCCCCGGATTCTTGGTTCTAATGTGACATGGTGCCAAAACCCTCTTTTCAGCTATACTAGTACATCAGATTAAACTTCAAGATCAACTCTAGTATTTTGACATGGTGCCCTCGCATTTCGGACAACTTGAGTGAATTCTTCCAAGAACTCAAATTATATTTTTCTGTTGAGTGAGCAACTTTTCGGGGTGTTGATAAGTAATCTCGTCACGAATTTATTGTTTTAAACTATATATTCTATTATTTGCTTCAAAATACAAAGCTGAACATGTCTTTACAGGAGTAAGGAAAAGCGAAGACGATAGATGACTAGGATTTTGAGCCTGTAGCAAGCTTTCGCTTACTTTATTCAGAGAAATAGACGATGCTGCGTTTCTTCGTCCAAGTGAAGGCTTACAAGAGATCACATATAGAATAAATACACATGAGAAGCACGTGCCGACATTTAGTAAATTGTTTACAGAAAAATTCCATCTACAATTCAAGTATTCGAATCTTGGAATCTCCGAACTTAATGTTAAATCACCTTATTATAGCGTCTTTAAGGTCCTATTACAGCATGCTGGCTCTTCTCTTAATTCATGTTCCCCTTTTAAATGATGAGTTTTTCGTGTTAGATTTGAGACTGCCTGCTACTTTCTATGACAACAGGGGAAATAAGTATGTAAGTATGTCATAAGATAGCATTTTATGCTCCATTATCTTTGAGAACCGAACAACTATTGTCAATGGTCAAGTCCTGCTTAATATACATATGAGCAACAGGACATACTATTATTCTTGCGTATTATTTAGTCTCTGACTTTGTCAAGGAATAAAAATCATTTACAGGCTACAAAAAACACTCGGAGAAGGCAGCAACAGTAAGATTGTTGGCAGTAAACTTTTCTCTAAACATATCTGATCCTTACCTTACTTCTAGAGAACTAGCGAAATCATTCATATTCCTACCTCTTACGTAGTGTTAAAAGCGAAGTAAAGTATTTTGGTCTGTTTTATCTGATTAAAAGAGATCGAGATAAAATAAAACACCACATCCTTGATCTTATCAATACCCAATTTTTTAGAAAATCAAATGAAGAAGGAATAGTAAACAAACACAGTCACGTTGTGATTAAGACATGAGGTTATGCGTAGTCGATTGTATTGTTCTGCTGTTTTCGGCTCTAGGGCCGAATTTTGTCCGAGGAAACAAGCATACTTCAAAATAGGTACTTAAAATGAGTCTCGGCTACTCGTAAGTCCGCTTCAGGGCTTCTGCTTGGCCGGCAGTGGAGTTTCAGCTCATCGGTAGGTGTTGCGTTTATGTGAAAAAGCGCCGCAAAAAGTTGGTTCCACCACTGTGATTATTTATTTCTTCTATCTACATAATGTGGTAGATACGATATGCTTCTCTCGTTTATAATTTCTGATTTAGCGGTTTGCCATCACGAGGCTCCTCCTACGGAACAGCTCTCCTCATCATGAGTAAAATACAGTCCACACAATAATCCTTTAGCTGAGAGTATTTCCTGATGAATAAAACAAGTGGGGAAAACTCTAATTTGTTCAACTTCTTTTTTTTCGACTTTTAATCTTTAACTAGCTGAATGGAAAAGAAGCGAGAAAGCTCCGATACGTTCTTATTAGAGAGACGATCGGTTGTTTTCTACGTAGGCGTGTTTTTAAGGTCCCGAGGAAGATGAGCAACATTGAGTGAAAGATCAGCAAAATTTTAACTATCAATTTTGAGATTAGCACACTACCGTTCAAAAAGAAATCATATAAAAACGATTATCGATAAAGGTCTAACAGATAAATTTATTCTAAATATGTGAGGCCCCTATCCACCGCATTTTGTTGTTGAGCCGGTGCGCCATTTGAGGGCACTGTCACTAATACACTATTATCATACAGGCAGGAAGGCCAGTCGAAATCAAACAAGCAGTTCCAACGCCAAAGCGTTGGAGGGCGCTTCTTTAACACTGCGCATGCGAGGAACGTTTTCATACGGCCAAGCGAGAGTATTGCGGACGGACGATGTATAACAAATTGCCTACGTGAAGGTGGTCCGGCAGCAACATACCCGCCGCTAGTCTCTGGAAAACAATAGAAAATAGTAGTAGCGTACGTTGCCAGCGAGCGCGCTGCGAGCGCATCTGTTTCAATTACCTAGCATCGAGTCGGGCCTCTAACTTTCTATTCTCTCTGACATAACCTTAAACCTTCAACCCAGAGCCGCAAACAGCTGACGCTTGACGATGCTGCGCCGAGAAAATGAACCAATCACAAAATAGCACAGTGATACGTCACTAAAATGAAGAGATCACGTGACTGTTCGTGATTTTTTCGAATCAATCTGAAAGTACAACCTCGAATATGAGGCATTTAAGCATAACGAAGCCCCAAAATAGTTTAACCAGGTAATACGTCCGTGCGAGATTGTTATGCTTAAAAGCAAAACATTTCACGAAAACTTTTACGAATACCAGATGCAGAAAAAAATCAAATTTTCCCGGGTGTACCAGAATGGCGTCATTCAGGACGACAACGAAGATCTAGAAACATCTATAAGCACTAAGTGATTAACCTTTAGGTGGTGCATGGAATCATAAAGGATACCGTGTAAATGAGACGACGGGAAAGAACGGCGGAACTTCTGATAAAGCTAGATGCGTCAACGCGATCCAGCGGACAGCGGCGCGCGTCGCGAGGTAGGGCGTGTAACGAAGAATTTCATTCTCCGTTTTAAGTTTTTCCCCTTCTTTTGTAGACCAAAATAGCGACAAATGTGTCACGGCTTGGCGACACCGCGCCACGACGCCCGGTGACGGTACATCAGCTGTTTGAATAATGAAAAGAAATGGAATACTGTTTCTCCTTTTTTTTTCTCTCTCAAAGTTAACTGCGAAATCAGGGTTTTCCGTAGATTTACCCAAAACGAAAAATTGTAAAAAATTCTAAACTACTGTAAACTTCTGTAGGAAATTTTCCTACATCCATTCCTGTAAATTTTATATTTTAATTAATTTTTCTTGTAACAAAAATTTTGCAACGAATGTCGAGATCGTCTTTCAATAGCTTCAAATCAATCTGATAGCCCTCTAAGCCAAACATTGTTCATCACCCTCTCCTCTCCGGAGGGTCACCTCTTCTCCCATCTTTCCTAAATCTTTCTCGACTCGAGGTGCACGTTAGTGAGTAGCATCTCGTCGAGCCCTCTGTCCATTTCACTTTCCTCTTTTCTCTTCCTCTGTGCTGAGGTGCACGTTAGTGAGTAGCAT